CTGATATTCTGTATTTTCTGACATTATTTTTATTATACATATTTTTCGAACTGAATTTAGGCATTCTGACAAAAATAAAAAATCTAATTTAAATTACGGGAATACTAAAATCGAAAAGAAAAAGAGACCTATAATTGATCAAGAAATTGACAGTGTGTTGAAGAGATTTAAAAAGGATGTAGCAGATACAAATATCACGAAATCATTGAACAGCGATAATGATAATATTCAATCAGATCCTGTAGCATCCTGTAGCTCGAATAGCACTTGGAAGAAATCAAAAAATTCGTCAAGCAAACATGAAAGTAAAAATCAAAATATGTTGAAAATGAAGACCACTAATATTTTTCAAAATATAACAATAATGAACACGAATATCAGGTATTTCTTTCATAAAATAAAGATATATTACTTTCATATTAAATAATAATTTATCCAAGTTTCACATATACATTTTTAGATATTCTTCTCGTATTACAGAGTTTCATCTAAAATATTGATTTATTCATTTTCCGACTTCTTAGATACATTTTTGTTTTATTTGAATGATTTCTTCTTATGCAAAAATATTTAGATCGCGTGCAGTGTATATTAATGCGATTTTAGAATTCCTGCTACCAAATATGTATTTGAAAAGACTTTGAAACTGCAAAGACACATTATACCCATATCTGCGAAGAGAGGCATTCTTCATGAAAAATACGAAGAGTCTCGATTTTATGGAGTATTGCGCAATAAAATCGAAGATAAAATCAGAAAATAGCTACTAAATAATTAATTATAAGAAAATAGAAATTTAAAAATGTAAGTTAAATACGTATAATGTCTTACTTGAAGCAACGAGGAGGTACTGTCCTCGGTGCTTGAAGACGCGATATTAAATTACACTTATAATTTTAATTTTACAGTATAGTTATTTTCGCTAAATGTATTATTATGATAATTAAAAATGTATATTTTCATCTCATTAAATGATATAAAAACAAATACAGTCATTTGACGCGATGCACTGTCTAGTGTCTATTATATATTGATATAAGTGAATTTAAAACCTATACGAATTGTTAAAAATTAATATTTATTTATTATGAATACTCGCGAGAATTAAATTTATATTCATAGAAAGCTCGAATTATATTTCGTCAAAAGGACAGTATCTATAGTGACACTCTCCTTTCCGTATAATTTTGTATTCATCAGTACTCATATTCTCATATTATATTTATATCCCCCTATATTAACCTCATATTCGTCGTCTCACCAATTACGATAAAACGAAATAGTACCGAGAATAAACAAATGTTTTGAACGTGAAGATAAAATAAGACAGCTTCTCGTTACTTCGTATTTAAATATTCCCCCATATTAACCTCATATTTCATATTCTTCGTCTTACTAAGATCGTTTCACCAATTACGATAAGACGAAATAGTACGGAAAGTAAACAAATGTTTCGAACGTGAAAGTGAAATAAGACATTTTTGTTATTTCGTATTTAAATATGCTAATCCTAGCAGATTCGATTACAGTCATGATGATTTAAAAGAAATAAATCATTTTTAACAGAATGTAATGTGCCCGTTAGATTAAAATAATGAGTGAATTTAAATTGCATCATTTGGTAGTTGAATTAATCGGATTATTGGGGTGAGTAAAAGTAAAACATTTCATTTCGTATTAATTTTAATTAGACAATTATCGTTTTCTATAATATATACAAGTATTTGAAGCTTAATATCGTTTCATAATTTATCCTTGGCAATAAACTATTTACTTTAGGTCGTCTTCTGCGCCCGAGAAACATGTGGAAAAATTACAAAAAGAAGGAATACCAACGAGTCCCAGTGCTCTGACTATGGTTGCATCGCAAAGTTCTATTCGGAACTTGGCTAGAAACTCACCTGTTCCTGAATTGTTTCTTCAAAAATATGAAGAATTAAAAGCAAAAAAGTTAGTGCTACAATGAACATACAGATTTAATATAAATAATAAATTAAAATATTAATGAATGATATTCCTTTTACAGAGTAGATCTATTAGGTTTGTTCATTCAGGTATTGGAACTTATATCCAGTGATAAAGAGTTGAAGAGCTTCTTAGCTAAGCAAGCATCTTCTTCGACATTAAATCCTACAAGGAATTCTGCTATTACAACAGAAGACTTACCACAGGTTAATCTTACTTTTTTTTAATATCAATTTAACAATCAGTTCAAATCTTTAAGAGAAATCTTTTGTATATTATGTGTAACGTAGATCTGTAAGAATGTGATTAAAGCAGCTGTGGAAGGAGAAAAGAAGTTAAATAAGCAAGTATGTGCAATTACGAAAAAAGCAGAACCATTGGTAATTAAATATAACTGGGTACACGAGAGGCCTAGAATAACATGGGACTTTTACAACGAGCTCAATGTAACTCCATGTCAAAGTAAACATCTCCCTTATATTAACGTTATGATTTAACCAAAATTACTTACCAAACTGTCAAATGTTTACAGAAGTTGTACCGATCGTCTCTCAAGAATCCATATTACTTTGGGATATTTTGTATTGTTTGAAAGGTATAGATGGTACTTACATCGTCTCCGAACCTTTAACAAGCCCATACGCAGTGAAGACGTTTAACATATCTCCAGATGTTGGTAAGAGATAGCAAAAGCTCTAACAGTATTTAAATAATTAAACCAATAATAGAAAATTACAATGATACATATAACATTGTTTTTGATTGAGTTTTATTTCTATAGGTATATCGTACAAGCAAATGGTTCAACAGATATTGCCTCTTGCGTCTCACTATTCCATGACAGCTAGATTCGTGGAGAAAAAAGTTTCACCGGAAGATGGTCAAGTAAATCATGCTTTGAGAGGAGCCATAAGATGCTTACTGAAAGATTATTTAGTATGTATAACAACAATGATAATATAACTGATTTCTATTATGGAAAAGTGTAGAATCATTTGTGTCTCAGTTGTTTGTCGTACAGTTGGAAATGGAACACGTGCGCGGCAAATTAAATTTGCAAAAACTGTGGTTTTATGTTCAACCGACCATGATTGCGATGTCTATACTCTTTCAAATTACATCCACTATATGCAAGGTACATTACTGCTTTTATCTTGCACATATTTGTTCCTTTGTACAATTCAATGGTACGTAAGAATTATACAAAATTGTATGGATTATATGAAAGATTGCTAACTAGGCCAATGCAAGAGGTGGGAAAGTCCTCAGTCTTCTGCACGAGCAAGCAAATAATATTAGCGGGGAAGCGAAGTTTAAAGAGTTGTGTTTGTATCTTATTCAAACGGCAAGTGTTCCATACATGCAAATACTAGAGAAGTGGGTTTACAAAGGAGTCATATGCGATCCATATGAAGAGGTAAAGATAGGACAAGGATATATCTGTTGTTATAGAGATTATTATAAAGATACATTTATAAATTATTTAATCTTTAAATTGTTTTAGTTTTTTGTGGAGGATAACGAATTAATTCATAGGGAAGAACTACCTATAGATTATTCGGCAGATTATTGGGAAAAGAGATATACTATGAGACCAGAAAGAATACCGATATTCCTCAACGAACATGCACAGACAATTTTAAGAACTGGAAAGTATTTTAATGTAATTAGGCAATGCGGTACGTGACGTTTATTGCGTGATCAAATATAATAGAAATTATAACTAAGATAGTACTAATTTGTTATAATTTTTAATAGGAAAAACTGTTCAATGGGGAAAACAAGAACCATTGATTTATCAACATCAAGGACAAAAGTACATAGCTGCTATCGATAGAGCCTATTCCGAGGCTGCGAAAACTTTGTTAGAAGTTCTGATCCATGAAAATGACTTGATGGGCAGACTTCGCAGTGTAAAAAGCTATTTTCTTCTTGCGCAAGGAGATTTTGTGGTACGCTTTCATTTCATTCATAGTAGATGGCAGATTTTATGCATTTATAAGAAAATATCACGATAGTCTTATTTTGTATAAAAATCCGCAGTCTAATAATAAATATCGTAATTTGAAAATACATGATGTATCATTCAATTATAGGTTCAATTTATGAACCTTTGCGAGGCTGAATTGAATAAAAACATGTACGATATTTTCATTCATCGATTGGCATCTCTTCTTGAAGTTGCATTACGTATGTCCACTGCGGACTCTGATCCGTATAAAGATGATCTGAAGCCAGAACTTTTACCATACGACCTGCAATTTCAAATGTTTAGAATACTATCCATTCAAACCAGAGATGAAAAAGGTATAATATAAAAGATAGTGACATAGTATACATATGATAGAAAAGTTTATAAGTAGAATGTTTAATCATGTATAACTTTCTGTTTCAGAATATTGTTTTCAAACGGATAAAACGCTAACTGGTTTGGAAGCATTTGTATTTAACTACGATGTTAAATGGCCCGTTTCCTTGATAATCAACAGGAAAGCAATAGCCTGTTATCAAATGCTTTTCAGGCATTTGTTTTATTGCAAATACATCGAAAGACGCTTGTGCAGGTTTTTACATACATTTCCAATTCTATAAGATTATCGTTATATTTAATTTGATTAAATACTTTCGTTTCTCATTGTAGGGTATGGGTCAGTAATAAAATTGCGAAGACTTTCACCCATAATGTTGCAAAGTCGTACAGACAAGCGTTTTCTTTAAGGCAGCGAATGCTTGATTGCATTCAGCATTTGGCTTATTACATGATGATCGAAGTTATCGAGCCGAATTGGCTTACGTTTCTAAATAAAATGAGCAAGGTAAGACTTTAAATTATGTTCTAATATATCTCGTATCAAACTATACTTTTAATTTGTTACATTCCGTATTAATTTTATGAAATGTGATTGATAGGTCAGTAACGTGGATGATGTTTTAAGCGTGCATCAAGATCTCCAAGATAGTTATTTGAAAGAGTGTATGCTAACAGATCCTGATCTCCTCGGCTGCATAACAGGCATTTCTGCCGCCTGCATCGAATTTTGCAACTTCATGGAAGTAAGTATCTCAAATATTGATTGACAAAAGATGCAATAAAATAATCTTGAATTGATATACACATGAAACATGACGAAAACATTTTATCTGAGTTGCGTTGTTTGCTTTGATTCAGATTCTTTCTGATAACTTTGTTATCCATTAACGTTTGCAGAAGGGCATACACGATAGCTATTGCAGTTCTTAGATTGTTACGAGTTTGATCTCTGTGTAACAAATAATAAAATTATTGATGTTAGACTGAAAATTGTCAGGACTATAAAACGATTATGCATGTTATGTTTATTATTAACATACAATTGTTACTATCTGACGTTTCGATTTATTAATCGTTTTCGAACTAAAAAAATGAGTTGAGTAGTAAACTGAATTTTATTATTTTACTAATGTTAAGCGTATGAGTCCATACTACATTGACGCCGAATTGACGTCCATGATTGGCTCCTATCAGGAAGATGTCTATGATTCCGAGGTACATCCCCAAAATTATAACTTTGCTTCCATGCATCTGTGTAGCATTAGTATCATAAAGCTTTTAGTAAACGAAAATTCTTCTATCTACAGTGTAAATAAAATTTCAATTCGCATGATTTATTTTATATGAATGCGAATTAAAATTTATTGAGAAACCTGTTTTTTTTTTCAATTTGTATTCTTCTACTGATGCAAGGGAATGAATAGATCCTAATTTCTTTTTATGAAAACGATCGGATATAGTTGAGTAGGTAAATTCATGCTCTTCTTCAATCATTTAGTTTAAATATTGTTTATTATTTTTGTGTACTTAATTATATTTAGTAAGAGAACACCATTATGAACATTATCACTATTAACATTCATGTAATGGTAATGGGATTCATTAGAATTAGTTACTTTTAATTGTGAATTCGTATACTTTCAGCGAGTAAGGAGATTATATCGTGACTGAATCACAGAATTATTGATTTGAATGACTTACTGTCTTTTATCAAATGCATGTACTCGATGATTGTAAATTTTTATATTAAATATCTTTTAAAAATTATTCAGAACCAAAAATGTGCAAGCATGCTATTTCACGTTATCAATTATGGTTTATCATTTGTGTTTAGAATCCTAATTATGACGAACAACAATATTGTTTTTATTTTCAGCTGGAGACATTTAAAAAATAGCACATACTAGTTCGTGACTGTATTTTTATTAATCGATTTCAGACATCATACGTATATTCGTTTTTCACAATGTATGCTTTTTAATCCTAAGTTTACAAAGGGCCTGGTGCATATATTTAAATAAAAGAAACAAAAGTAATAAATTGTATGTCCGTGTGATTTGTTAGGAGGAATACGGCAATACGTCCAAAGAGAATGCCGCCAGTTTCGAAGAAACTATCGTCTCGCTGGACGAGAAATTCACTCAAGTATTAATTCGTCTTCTAGACAGAATCTGTGATCTAGGCCGTGATAACAATAACGAGAAACTTCTGAACGTGTTTTGTAGGTAAGCTCGTGAATGAAATTTATAAACGTCTTTGGAATGCGGTCTTAAATTCGAATCACGTACAATGTATGCCAAATATTTAGTAGAAAGAAAAGAAAAATGTTAATCCAGTATTTTGAAAATTATATTCAAATGTAGTCTGCAAATAATTCTCGTAAAATATAACTTGCGAATTATTTGATGTTGTCAATGAAATATAATTCGAGACTGCTACACTAAACAAATTGAAAAAGAAACGTAAATATAATAATTTTTTTCTATTCAGGCTAGATTTCAATTTATTTTATACCGACATTTTGATACGACGTGGAAGAGAAAAGACAGCCCAAGAAGATGTCTCCGGTTGAATACTGATATCTGCCAGATGTCCACGTAATGGTAGATGTACGTTTGTAACTTTCAAACAATTTTACTCTTTTGCACAGTATTTGTATATGATACAAAGTAGCTGTAGATGTTAATACATTAAAGCTATCTATAAAAAATTAATCGCGCACGAAATGCTTCTTTAAGTTATTGAAACATGCGAAATTGTTACGAACACTGTCCATTTTGTACATTCGGAAAATAAAATGTATTTTATAAATAAAAACGTCAAATTGTGTATTTCAAATCATTTATAAAATAACATTAGATTAACTAAGATGAATGTAAAGGAAATAAAAGGAAAAAAATATGAACACGCAGAGAATCATATATTACGTTTAATTATCCCTGGCAACATTAACATTGTTATCAATCGTTTCCTTCATGGAAACTAAAACAGTTTCAATCACATCGAATCTTTCCTCAAGTTTATTCATTTTATTGAACAACTTTTCATTATCAGTTTCTTGCCGTCTCTTCGACAAAATGTCCTTAGCCTGCTTGATGACAGAAGGATCAATCTTAAACGTAGGCATTACTTTCTCAGAAAGAGTCTCAGAACTCGTATCAGGCTGTGCTTTGTAATGTAATCTCCTGGAGATTTCCAAACCGTCTTGCGGTTGTACAGTCAGCTTGCCACTCCTCAAATAACTTGGAAACAGAAGAACTTTCTCAACTAGGAATGTCAAAGGATTAAATTTCCACGTGTACATTTTGCCGCACGCAATGTTTTCAAAATAAGCGAGTACTTTTATCCTGGATATCAGTCCCACCAATTCCGCCTTGTGGAGAATCTCTGCCGTGTCACTGACTGCCAAGCCATTCAACAAATTAAACAACACTATAGCTATAAGAAAGACGAACAACACGAAGATGAGATGACTGAAAATAGGGTGTGTATTAAATGGAATGTCACCGGCTTCGAACTCTCCCGTGAGCATGATAATAGTCTTGAACAGCGAACGCCCGGGATCCGGGAAGTTTTCACCGTCCTTGAAGATGGTGAAGAAGGCTAGCGCGAAGGCTAAGATAAGGAATGCATAAAAGAAGAAGAAATGCATAAAGTTAAAAGAAACTGTCTTGAACATTTCAATACTGGTAGACATTCGTGGATGTTTTCCCATTTGTATCACTAATTCCCAAGCGGACAATAATATAGTCATAGCCACGATTTGGACGTTTCCATCGTTGATCGTGATAAATGCAAAAATCACTAAAGTCATCTCTATCCAGTTCTCCGAGCTCCATAAGTAATCAGACGGAGATGAAAGAAGTTGGAGAAACTCTCTGAGTGCGAGCAGCCCCAGCGCGATGCCAGTAAATATTCGCAGGACGTGAACGGATAATTCTTTTGCCTCTCCTTCGATCTCGATTGAATTTGTTTCTGTATTATTACCTCTTACATAAGTAGTGCGGAGAATGTAGGCGTTCAGTAAAACGTAGACGATGAGATAGAAGACAAAATTTAAATAAACGATGTGTCTTATTCGGTGCCATTTTAGGTACAGAAAGGAGGATAGCAAAGGGTGCGTAAGCAATTGTTTTAAATTATTGTTGCCAGCTATGTAGCGAAACACATCCATTTCTCGTATGCTCTCGTCCGAGAATATGACATTTTTGTTTTGCCTCTCCATATAGAATTCAGGGTTCTTAGGCATTAGGCATTTGTAATTGAATTCGATCGTGTATTCGTTCGCTTTCTCTCTTTTGGCTTGAATGCAATCATCGAAATATTTGGATAAAATGGATACTGGGATGTCAGCAATAGCTGGGATATTGAATGCGTTCATATCACCGATATAGCTTCCTTTCTCGAGCAACTGTGTCATTGCTTCGCGACAATCGGCACTCGCTGCGTGATGAAGTGGAGTATTCTTCTTGCCTACGCATTTGAATCATTGTTTAATGCTTTAATATTAAATACAATATTCTACTATGCAGGATGAGAAAATAAATTTTCTTAAAATATACTATGTACGAGTTCATTAAACGATACAAATCATCATGGACGTTTGCATATAAATTACGTGTTTGTTTAAATGAATCATTAAAAAATTACACTTTTTAAAATATGATTGCACGAATGAATTCTATAGGAAAAATTATAATTGTATATACATTGCCGGTAACAGATATAACGAAAACATGTGATACTTACCATCCTTACTATCCTTGCATCGAAGATCCACATCCTCCTTGACAATCATTTTGAAACAGTTCAAGCGTTCCTCCGCAGTGCCACAATCCTTCCTTGTAGGTGTACTAAGTTCGATGCAAGCATCCATTAACAATTTTTCAACATTCAGATCCGGTCTTAATAGTTTGCCATCATCCATTAACAAACTGTTTTCAACATTCCTGCTTTTAATATTCCTGCTTTTAACTGTTTCCAATAGTTGGCGAAGAATGTCTGGTGAACCTTTCTGTATAGCCAAGCTTGCTGCTTTTTCCAAATTGGGTTTAACTCTGTCTGTTTTCTTTAACAACGCAGCAACTGTATTCGGCAAATTGTTCTTGATAGCCAGTTCGATCAAATTCTCAGCCTGCTTGTTCACTTCATCTTCTTCGACTTCTTCCAGACACTTCAGAAAATTCACTTCATCATGATTGTTCAAGTAGGACTTTAAATCTTGAACATTCGCTCCTTGTTTCTCAACAGGAGGAGGCAATTGGATATTTGGAAAATTCTTTTTCAATAATTCTCTAGTTGTCTGTTCATTGTAGTCTTCGTACTCTAATTTCAAGATGTGTTTGCTCTGTGTCATGATCAGGTTCACCATGTCCGAGTCTTTCTGCATCGCTGCCAAGTGTAAAGCGGTTACACCCTGGGTATTAAGTATGTTTGGACTGGCGCCTTTTTCTAACAGCCGACGGGCGCATTCTAAGTTTTGCTCCTTCACCGCGAAGTGTAAAGCCGTTCGCTGTGCCGCTTCGAGATTCGGATTTATCGTTCTTTCCTTCAGTAGTATGTCTAGGACTTCGAATTTGCCTGTCTTACATGCCCTCTCCGTGGCTAGGTGAATCGGTCCACGATTGAGAGTCTTATTCACTCTGTTCACGTTTGCACCTGTCAGAGGAATTTCCAAATGTTCAAATGCGGAGAAAGAATTACCGCTTGAGGGTTTCATAAATAAACCGCGGATTTTTATTCATTTATAAGAAATTTGAAAATGTAAAATTATATAAAATATACAGTGGTTTCTTGACTGATTCCTTTGCGCACACCTTTATTTAATAAGAACTGCACAAACTCTGGAAAATCTTTCTCAATGGCGACGTCCAGCCAAGTTTTGTTTGATTCTTTCGAGTAGATGTGATTTACGTCGATGGCTGGTGGTTCTCTGTCTAGATTCTGCTCGAGAAGGCACTTGAAGTTCTCAAACTTTCTTGATTGCACATACTCCCATAACAGTTTGTAGATAGTTTGAGATTTCGAGGAAGAGGTGTAATCACAAAGAAGGTGCATCTTTACATCCTTGGAATCCATGCTGGGATAATTAAGTAAATGATAAAAATGTAAAGATCAACTGGGTATGTAACTTATTAATTAATAGATTGTGAATTTTCTGAAGAAATCCTATGTGTAAGAAATATGAAGAATGAAAAATGCAAAAAATATAAGCTTCTCTAATATTTTTGTTATATGCAACTGTCAGCATACTTATTACAGATGATGATAACGTGGTGCGTTTTATAAGTGTATGCGTGGGTGTTATAAATCATCACGATACAGTTCCAGCAATGATGTCATTAAAGCATATTTTAGCGGGACTAACAAAGATATTGCAGGTGTTTAATTAATTTAAGAACATAGGCAATAGATTAAACGTAATAAGCAGATTGAAGGGTTTATATGGAAAAACTGTAAATTGAATAATAATAGGAAAACGCAAATAGAAAAATTCTGAAATAAAAGATATGAGTGATATTACCAATAAATAAATAAGCCGATAAACCAAAAAAATAATTGGAAACAGGGACGGCTACATAAAAAAAATTTTTCATAGTACGTAAACTAATGATATGTATAAGTTTTCTCTAATCTACCGACTGTGATTCAATGTTGGGATGTGTCTGATACACCTACAAAATAGAGATTGTATGAGACACTAAAATATGTATTAAGTAGGCGCCTGCTACCTACGGAAGTAGAAGTCCGGACGCGTTTCCGGTCATTAGCATTAATTCAAGTTCGTGTAAATGACAGGAATGTTGACAACGACGCGACGGTGTCGTTGAATTGTTCGCTGAACAATCATAGCACTATCGCTTTAATCAATGATGGAATATCAAATTTCTATTGTAAAGACATGAATGTAGATAATTATCGTGGAGCAGACGATCCGCGAAGTCAGTCAACTTTCACTCCTTATTTACTGAACGAAGTTAAAGTGCAATTTATTTATATGCTCGATTATTTATTATAATGCAGATCCATTTATGCATATTTACGATGTCATACAAATAAATTAATTGAACCATTTTTATATCAATTAATTGAACCATTTGTAATTGTGATCTCCAAACTGCGGATTTTATGCATTTATAAAAAAAATTAAACAAAGAATGTATGAAATCTATAAAAATATTAAAAATTGTTAAATGTTGAAATTGTTAAGATATAAAAACACTAAACCATAAATCATGATTTTTAAATATCTCATTTTGCATAAAAATTATGAATCAAAGACTTATTTAGTTGTAATGTAGATTATTAATAGCGTGATTTCAAGTACGTAATAGTGAAGCTATCTAATAAATGACACATCTTCGATTATAATGGGTCCATTGTATTAGTCGAATCAGTATAGTTGTAGATAAATCACAACATGAGCAGTTTTTATCATGTAAAATAGGAATAGATATGTATATTTGTACCTGTAACGATGATGCAAAGAAAATAGTGAGTTCCTCAACGAGCTTGGTCATGCAGGGGACTAACTCGCGGAGTTGTCTTTGCTGACCAGTTCTCTGTATCGTGATGTCACATGGGTGGGGACTGGACAAGTGTCGTGTGTCATTCACGCTCGTATAGTCGTTCTGGTCTTCTGATTCTATAAGTAACCATTCTCATCGGTAAACGCGTTAATTGAATATAGAAACTTCCATGAATTTTCGTAATTATTTAGGATGTTACAATAACTAATATGCTAAGGTAAGTGTCCCAAATTCTGTTCACGTCCAAATTTCGACTCATTGGCATATTTTTCTATAACTTCAAGATATCATATATAATAGTAGAAAAATACCAATTAAGATATGAACAGGAATTGAAACATTTACTTTCGTATTCTAAAACCTGTTAGCAGAATTTTTCTTTCATACAGAATCTGTTAATAATTATTAGACTGCAGATTTTTATGCAAAATAATACATTTATGGTATCAGTTTAGAAAGTATATTTTAGGTACATTCTTTGATAATTTTCAATTTCTGATATTCTTATAGTTTTAAAGATCGCACATTGCTTATATCTTCATTTTTATTGTATAAAATCCGTAGTCTTGTTTTACTAGGAAATGTTTTATATGAATTTTGTAGTTAATGGAATCTATTTTAATGTTAATGCATTTTTGTTCAGCTCAATAAATATAGCTTCGTAGTTTATTTTAGATAACAATTCTTATCGATACATCCTAGATAATAACGAAAAAAATAATTGAAATATCTATCGAAAACAGTTAAGTACTATCAATGTATTTTGAAGTCAAATTTGTTTACCACATTATATCAATAATTTTTTTATATTCTATCATCATAGTTTGGAGAATCAGGAAGTAAGTTTTGTTTGGATATATCGTCACCTACTAATTTTAGCTGACATTTGCCCCGAGCACAAGGCCAGAAGAATCGAGAATGAAGACCAAAATTGTTAGGGTGCGTGGGTTGCAAAATCTTGTATGCATACCCACTAAAAGAACTAAGGACTCACCACTTCCATGCGAATGGTTTAACATAAGAGTTTTACAGCTGTCCCGAGTTTCAAAATATCTTAGCTAAAAAACATCAGAAACGAACTTATATATTAAATTTAAAAAATCTTTGTATCAAATCAATACCATAAAAGTAATATTTTATTTTATATTTTTATAATTATTATAGTATCATAATTTAATGTTTTAATTTCTATTTGTGGCTATCATCAGTTTTTCTTCTTATGTATGTACATTAGGTTTGCAATTAATAAAGTAATAAGTTAATAAATTCGCCATAAAGAATGGATTCTTCATTGAATACGAAACCACTGTTAATATTTAGGAAAGTAAAAAAGAGAATTTAAGAATAATTCTATTTCTCTAATCCTACTTGTAAGGATAATCGGATCGATAGCGCAAGCGCTGTATCAGAAATTCAAGGATTACGAGGTGGGGATAAGAAGCACATGTACGATAGCGTGGCTTTTAATTTCAGTTTCTCACGAACGCGCGTTAAGTTAACATCAGTTCTCGTGTCTTTGTGTCTCTTCCGCTACGATTCTGTGATTCGATCAATTATCTCGGTCACTTGCTATTCACGTCTTCACGCGACAGGAGCTTGTTAGTACCTCAGTGTTTTACCTTTTGCGATATCAAGGTAAGCAGTCTATTACATTTAATTGATATATCTTGGTAAACAGAGAACCGGTTTACTCTTGTTATCTAAGATAGAGAAACTTCAGAATCTGTCTTTAAACAAAAATAAAAAAAATTTAGAAACGCTAGCTGATTAAAATTGTCTACTGAGCCTGATATAATGTGAAAGGAAATTTGGAATTTTTAAGTATTCGATATGAAATATAAATAAATCTGTGCTATATGTTGTTTAATTTATTACACTATTGTTAATCCTACTAATATAATTATGGTTTCAAAATCTCAAGAGAAAAGATAATTAAGAAAATAATCAGGACCAATTATTGTAATTTACTTCACTATGGTACATAATAAAACTCGATTGACATGACTTCTTTTAACGATAAACCAATGTTCATAAAAATACAACAATATGTAAATTGTAAAATATAGTATATAAAAGCAATTTAAACATTCTTAATGACTTTGCAAAACGTCAACTATTGAACATTGTATGATAGCAAAACATAATTTTTTCTTAGTTCTGTTTACATTGATAAACCTGAACACATACAAAGAACGAATTGTATGCATGTATTTTGAGTTTTTCTTATACAGAGAATTGGAGAACTGTACGTGCTTTTAGTCAGAGGTATTTTAGTTTCGTTTACGGTTCAGTACCGAGTAATCGTCGTAACATGTCGTAAACAAATATTATGTCATCGATGTGTAATAATGAATTCACCGTCGGTGACCATACAAAATGTGTAAATGGCAATTCTTCTCGCAGTACTACTATTATAGTTCCGATACGATCGATGATTCATCTTTCTGTATCTATTGTGCTTATACTAGTAATTAATTATACATATATGAATTATAATGTAAATCGTTGTACGTGTCGTAATAAGCAATTTGTCGCCGAGAATGAATGATTGTACGATTTAAAAAGAATAATAAATTGTGCAGTCTCCGTCATTTTATGCAATGTAACTGATAAACAATTCTGCGATACCAGCATTTCTTACTTTACTTTTGTAATTTAATTTACTCCTAATAAGTTGCAAATTAGTGAATGACAAGAACTTTAGAATCGTTGAACGAGCTACAAGCATAAATAAATAAGTCTTAATTATGCGACTGAAGCAAAAAAGGTGAGAGTCACGCGTCAACTTATATACGTACTATACTTACGTCGTGAAATTATGCGTAACGTTTTCATGATTATCAAAAATCGATCATTTAATCCATCTTACCCAATATGGTACACACGAGCAATCCTTGATCACGTTTCTACCAAGCTTCTTATAACATTGCTAAATATAGCCAACTTCAGAAAATGGAATAAAAAAAAATGGTTTTCAAAGTTTTAATCAATATTCTTCATAAAAATAGCAAAAGACATAATAGAAGTTTAAATTTAAAATAAGTTTTGATTACAAAAGTATTAGACGCAAAAATGCCAAAATATCTTTGTTCTCAATAAGAAAACACTCTGAATAAGGAAATGTATCTCGTAGAAGGTAAAGATTTCGCTTTGTACTCTATTAATTTACACACAATCGCATTATTCTCGTTTTGGTCACAGAGGCAACTTTTCCTACCTTCATCACGAGAAGCTTTCATCTCTATATTTGGGCGACGTGATCTTTTTTTGTCCGCACGTTGAACTCCCAGAATTTACATACATACAGTAAGAAATATCATCATACACAATTTTTTGTTCAATTTTATCAATGCCTATATCTTTATATCATGAGAACATGGAATAGATGCATCGTTGTACTTTGGCAAATTAAAATACAATTGGTCAGGCTTTAGGATAAATTCAACTACTGAGAAATGTTATTTTTTTTAATTTGGAATGAAATCAATTATTACCAAATCTCAATGTTATAATTATTACGTACGTAGAAGAAATATCCAACAATATACGAAATATCAAGACTGAAATACATATTATTGTTTTTAAAAGACGATAAAAATTCTGATCTATTTAGATTGCATTTTTTGAATTGACATTACAAATATTTTATTTTGCACATGCATCCGAATGATATTTCATATTGACTTTGTATGTATGCGAGTGAACGCGTTTCGTTAGATCGCTCGTTATTGTTCGAAACGCGAAAGGATTTTGCTGTCTCGCTTCAGGACTCGGAGAAAGTGGCGAATAAAGCTGATGCTGCTGGCCACGGGACCAAACGATGCCATTTTTGTTCACGCATCCTTAAACAGCCGTTTGCATTGAAATTTATTGATTTCTTTTCGAGATCGAGTTCTGCCCAAGGCTCGCAACACCGATTTCTCGATCGCAGAACGTTTTTTTCACTTTTTAAACTTTGCAATTATTTTCCTATCTCACAGATAAAAGATCGGTTGTTTCAAAATGCAAGTGCGTGACAATTGGCCTGTTACAAGTTATATAAAATAAGAACATTCATGCAGGTATTTTATAGCAGATGTTTTATATTTATATTTACTTTACTAGGAATTTCATATCTTATTTCTGTACTTGATGGAACTATTTGGAGTAATTAACTCTTATATTTTAACAAATGACAATTCATTTACATAATGTTTGTTGATGTTTTGTATCAATTAGTAAATATTATATTTCTTTAAATAACAATTCTTAGTGATTAATTTGTTACGTGTCATATTTATTTGAAATTATAATTGTTCATTCTTTATTGATTCTGTATAAGCGTACCATTAACCACTAGCATATACATATAGTATGAGAGTATAATCCTAATCTAGATCAATTCTAATGCATGTATGACAGTTATTAGAATACAGTTAGTAGAACCGAGAATGTGGTATGTTTAACAAAGTGAGTACTATAAGTGGGTCATGAGTCATACATTTGACCTGCATTTATTTGGCTTGATTTAAACGCTATACAATTTGTGATATTCATGTTTTATTCAGTCCAATGTCGAATGGTGGGCGATTCTGGATACCCACCATGGACATATTCTTATATGGTTGTTCGTGAGTCGTTATGTACTTCGTGGCCCGTCTTTTCGAGGACGTCGTACGTTACACAATTCCAAAGGAACGATTTCTCGGGGAAAAGTACTCACATAAAACTGTTCGATGTACAAAAAGATATATAAAAAAAATAATAGTAGACGAAGCGAAAACTTAAATAGAATCGTATCTCTTATAATTCTTGGAGAAAAGTAGAAGACACATTTAAATGAGAATTGTTAAGGATCCAATATAATTTAATACATGACAAACTAGACAACAGAAATTATGCATGAGGTGAATGCCTAAATGTTCTCTGCAATTTTTAAAACTAAAACTTTCAAAAACTTTTTTGTGAATGCATTAGTACTTGCATACAATATGTAATCTATAATAAAATACATNGATAAATGTTTTATATTCCATAAAAATCCTGAATAGTTGAAGTTATGAAGCAAAAATTTGCACGAGATAACGTGTTTTGTGAGCACGAAACGAATGCTGTGGACAGCGGTATTCCGCGTGCAGATGAGGTATCGATCAAACTCCGAAACACGCGTTTCTGTTTCGCAAGAATGCGCGACGTTTAATGTGTGTCATTCACGAAATTCCATCGCTTTTCTCTAAACGATTATTGATTCTTCTCTTTTCCAATGTCATTGATATATCGTCTTATTTGAAGAATGAAATATTCTGAAGTGAGTTCACACAATACACAAACACAAGTTAATTTATAACTTGCCGTATATCATTATAATCTATCATTAGCAATATACAATTCCAGTTTCCTTTATATTATAAATATAGTTATAATTGAATTTGTAATTGACTACATACAATTACAATCTGTAATTTGCAATGAAGAATTAAAATTTCGTACACAATTACAATTTAATTTATAATTGGTGCTACAATAATATTGCAATTTATTTTGTCATTTTTGTAATGTCCTCAATATGCAATCTTTACACTTACCGGATGTATAAATCTGTGTAGGAAAAGACACAGCACCGGCGTCCTCGTTGCATGGGCGCACATTATCAACGAAATACGAAGTAACTCCTGCGCCTGGTGATTACAATCCAGAGAAAGCAGAGAAAATCATTCTGGACCGATCACCGAAATACTCGTTCGGCATCAAAACTCAGACTGAGAAGATCAACTGTACGCCTGGTAAGCGAATTTGTAATTTCAAGCTTCAAGAGGAATTCACTAATATTCTTTTATCAGCGTAGTTTTGTTTGTAAAATATTTTTCTGATTAGCGCCGAGTGACTATTGCACCGAAAAGGTGAATCTCGATAAGACACCCGAGTACAGTTTCGGGTTGAAACCTGTACTGGAGAAATCGAACGATATTCCCGGTAATTGAACAAATTACAAACCGGTTACAATACTCTCTGAACTAATTGTTACTCAATTACTAATACAGTTAATCAATCTTTTGCATTCAGAATGAAATGGGATAAAAGGTAGACTTTACTAATCTTAAAAAATAATATATGATTCAAATTTTATACAATGTTACATTGGTACAAGACTGCGATTTTTTTATGCAATTATTACTTAATAAAAACCGCAATGATTTTTGCACCGACCTAATACTATGCAAAATTTGAATCATATTCTATACGAGATTGCATTGAAAAGAAATGAAATGTTTAACTCCAAGTTAAATAAATTTGCTAATGGCAACAAGCAAATAATAACAAGTATTTTCAGTAGTGAATGTTTTATTTAAAAGTAGCGAAACGTGATTGAGAAAATGATTTCTGAAGAGGAATGACGCTTCAAGAACCGATCATTAATTATTACCGATTACTTAAAACGGGAATTCTGTAGAAGCAGAAGAATAACCATTGCTCAATGCTTAGGTATTGCATCTTGGATCTTGATTGACATTTTTGTTTGGCTTCTCGTTTTATTTTGCTTGCCGCTCGATAAATCTTGAATTTATTTCACTTTATTCTTCATTTTATACTGATAATAAATTGTTGTAAGCTGTTTACAAGCAGATTAAAATAGATAAAAATGATGCTTATAATATGTATATTTAATGATTACATTGCATGTAATATAAAGGGTGAATCAGTAGGAACAATCATAAAAAAATTAATTGTTCTTGTGTCTCATTAGAAATTAGATATTTGATATAGGTTTTATTGAAGTTTATTGAATTTACGTATTCTTTTCTTTATTTTTTAAAGGAACCACATTTATTAATTCATTTTGTATAATAATTTTATTAATAAGTATCAATGTTACAAAATTAGAAAATATTCTCTGATCTTTTTTTCAATTAGCAAAGTTGCTTATTGTTGTAAAATGTTGCTTACGAAGTAGCATTTATTTTATTTACATCAGATTTTATTTCATATTTTTTTAATGAGTCTATTGTGTTTCGAAGCTAAATTAATCGATTTTTCTTTTATTGTACGGTAATCAGCGCCTGGGGCTTACTATCCGGAAAAGGTAAGATTGGACCATATTCCACAATTCAGTTTCGGACTTCGGCATACAATCGCAAAACCCAGCGACACTCCAGGTAATCAATTTTTGAGCACGTTATAAATATAACGCAGAGTGTATTTGAAATGGAACGTTTGCTCCGCATTAAATATTTGCTCGGTCAGCGAACTGAGAGATCACTTTCATAAAAATAGATTGTTAGCAAATTTACATTAGCAGTGGCACGTTTCATATTTTTTTATAGCACCTGGTACATATAGTCCTGAGAAAGTAAACCTTGACAAAGGTCCTCAGTACAGTTTATCCGGAAGAAGTCGAATGGAGAAACCTGATGACACCCCTGGTACGAAAATTGTCGCACATTGTAAAATAAATACAATTTTAATCCTTTTGTAATGAGAAATTTAATTGGTAAAAAAATGTCTTCAGCGCCAGGTACGTATTCCCCTGAAAAATTTAAAATGGACACGACACCGCAATTCAGTTTTGGACTGAGGCCGGCTCTCAAACAAATAAGTGACACACCAGGTAAAAATATTAGACTACGAATTTTATGCATTTGTGAAAAAATTGTAATAAAAGGAAAAAAAAATTAAAAGAGATAATACAAAAGATATAATATGTAAAATTGAAATGGTTGATCATCATTCTCGGAGAGGAAGACAAACTTTTAACTTTTCACGTTTTAAATGAATATTACAGATATACGATTATTTTGCATCAAATTCCGCAATTTATTTATCATCCCGATTACCTCTTATAAACAAAGATATTATAAATTGGCTTCATTGATCATTTAGCACCTGGAGATTATTGCCCAGAGAAGGTGAACTTAAACAAAGGTTCAGAATTTAGTTTAAGTGGTAGAGGACATTCCGTGAAACCAGTCGCTACTCCTGATTGGCACAATTCATATTTTATTTCTACCAATATTATTTAACGCTTGCCATATAACTTCCAACCTTTCCTTTTATTTAAGCTCCAGGAACATATAGTCCAGAAAAAGTAAATTTGAACAAAGGTCCCGAATATAGTTTATATGGTAAAGGAATGTCAGAAAAACCGAACGATAATCCAGGTGAATTTCTACTTATTTTAATTTTATGTACACTATTTCTCTGAAAAGTTCTTAATTTCATTTAGAATCTTTTATTTAGCACCTGGAACTTATAGCCCCGAAAAAGTAAATTTAAACAAAGGTCCCGAGTATAGTTTATATGGTAAAGGCATGTCAGAAAAACCGAACGATAATCCAGGTGAATTTATATTTAATTTTATTTTATTTACACTATTTCCTTGGAAACTTCTTAATTTCATTTAGAATTTTTTATTTAGCACCTGGAACTTATAGCCCCGAGAAAGTAAATTTGAACAAAGGTCCCGAGTATAGTTTATATGGTAAAGGAATGTCAGAAAAACCGAACGATAATCCAGGTAACCGTATTTTGACATACATTTTATTTATGTAGATTTGGTATTTAATTGCTTATTTTTTTAGATTAATGACCCCTTATATTTGATTTTTGTCATAGCGCCAGGAACATATAGTCCTGAGAAAGTAAATTTAGATAAGGGCCCTCAATACAGTCTGTCCGGTAAAGGATTACCAGAGAAGCCTAATGACAATCCAGGTGATCAGTAATGAATATTTCGTTAATATTTTCTAATTGAATTAGAAAATGGCGGATTTTACACACATAATATAGTAGAAATAAAATACTATCAAAAGATTGATAATTGATAGTAAATTCTGCATGTAATACATAGAATTATTAGCAAAGTTGCTTATTGTTGTAAAATGTTGCTTACGAAGTAGCATTTATTTTATTTACATCAGATTTTATTTCATATTTTTTTAATGAGTCTATTGTGTTTCGAAGCTAAATTAATCGATTTTTCTTTTATTGTACGGTAATCAGCGCCTGGGGCTTACTATCCGGAAAAGGTAAGATTGGACCATATTCCACAATTCAGTTTCGGACTTCGGCATACAATCGCAAAACCCAGCGACACTCCAGGTAATCAATTTTTGAGCACGTTATAAATATAACGCAGAGTGTATTTGAAATGGAACGTTTGCTCCGCATTAAATATTTGCTCGGTCAGCGAACTGAGAGATCACTTTCATAAAAATAGATTGTTAGCAAATTTACATTAGCAGTGGCACGTTTCATATTTTTTTATAGCACCTGGTACATATAGTCCTGAGAAAGTAAACCTTGACAAAGGTCCTCAGTACAGTTTATCCGGAAGAAGTCGAATGGAGAAACCTGATGACACCCCTGGTACGAAAATTGTCGCACATTGTAAAATAAATACAATTTTAATCCTTTTGTAATGAGAAATTTAATTGGTAAAAAAATGTCTTCAGCGCCAGGTACGTATTCCCCTGAAAAATTTAAAATGGACACGACACCGCAATTCAGTTTTGGACTGAGGCCGGCTCTCAAACAAATAAGTGACACACCAGGTAAAAATATTAGACTACGAATTTTATGCATTTGTGAAAAAATTGTAATAAAAGGAAAAAAAAATTAAAAGAGATAATACAAAAGATATAATATGTAAAATTGAAATGGTTGATCATCATTCTCGGAGAGGAAGACAAACTTTTAACTTTTCACGTTTTAAATGAATATTACAGATATACGATTATTTTGCATCAAATTCCGCAATTTATTTATCATCCCGATTACCTCTTATAAACAAAGATATTATAAATTGGCTTCATTGATCATTTAGCACCTGGAGATTATTGCCCAGAGAAGGTGAACTTAAACAAAGGTTCAGAATTTAGTTTAAGTGGTAGAGGACATTCCGTGAAACCAGTCGCTACTCCTGATTGGCACAATTCATATTTTATTTCTACCAATATTATTTAACGCTTGCCATATAACTTCCAACCTTTCCTTTTATTTAAGCTCCAGGAACATATAGTCCAGAAAAAGTAAATTTGAACAAAGGTCCCGAATATAGTTTATATGGTAAAGGAATGTCAGAAAAACCGAACGATAATCCAGGTGAATTTCTACTTATTTTAATTTTATGTACACT